CATTGTAACAAGAAAACATACATAGTGCCAAGGTGAAGTTGGGCAAATGCTTTAATACAAATGGAATGCTTTGTTCAGTTGAAGCGGCTACATTTCTCATCAGAAATCTTCCATAAAATATTCCTAAAACACAGAGCAATTTTTTGTGTTCAGGAAAGGTCTGGAATCATCAAGTTTGAACCACAAACTTATTTAACTGTATTTCTTACAACTGGAAGTTTGTCGAGAATTATTTTAATGCTTCTAAGAGTAGAGGAAATCATAAATGCCTCCCATCAACCTGCATTTTTTTTTCCAAGTTCAAAGACCCTAACCATCGTGTTTCCTCCAGACATAACAAGGTTGGATCAGAATTATTTATTGGTCAGCTCTTTACCCAGCCCTCATCTTCCGTATGGGAAGAAACCATTCTGTGTGAGCTAAAATAATTACCCAAAAGATTTTGGCCTTAACTTTGTCATCATACCTCCTTGTATTGTTGAAATTAAGTCACCTAAACAAATTCCAGTGCTAGCTTGGTCTCAGTTTCTGTGGTGTGTATGCTATGCTTTGAGAAAGGTATATGACTCATTTCCATCGCTGATGCACAAAATCAGCAACAAATGTGTTCAACCAATGTCTTGGTAAGAGGAGGATTTTTCTTTATTCTGATTTCTTTCTACAGAAAAGAGCATAAAAACAGCCATACTAATTGAAAACAACAGCCCAGATGGTTTCCTACCATATTGTGGTAGTGACCAATAACTTATGCGTAAGCCTCAAGTGTTCCATCCTCTTGTATGCACTCTAGGCTTTTGGCCATCAGAAGCAAAGGGGTTTTGTGAGCTGAAGACTCTGTCGGGGTGGTCATATTTAACAACTAACACCAGACCTAATCTCCACAAATTTTCTAATTTTTCTTTGTTAACTTACAGTTTAATTCCACAACACTGAGTGATGGTTCTTTCTACAAATTCTGCAAATGGTGGAAAAGGCACTCTCCAAGGCTCCGTGCTGCTTGTGTTTCAAGAAATAATGAGTGCGCTAGTTTTGTAGCATTCATTAAGAGAACAAAGGGAATGGATAGTTGCCTGTTTTTTTTTCCAAGCTTCTGAAGCAATGTACTCCATTATTTTTTTTCCCCTTGCATGAAGCCATCCGTACTGGTTATCATCCTTGTGACCTTCTCGACAGGAGAACCAGAAGTAATACAGCATTCAAGATGTGAAAACATTGTATTTTTATAGTTTCTTCCTTATGATGTCTTTGCCTTGTTGATGAGTGTTTCTCTGATTCTTTCTGAATACAGTCATGATGACTCTAGATCTTTCCTGAGTAGCAATAAGGAGCCTGGAGCTCCTGATTGTGTTTGCACGGTTGAGGTGGTCTTTCTCTAGCAGGTACTAGCACTCAAAAGTGCTGATTTTTTTTTTTTTTTCCCCCAGGGTGTTTTCTCAAGCAGTAGTTCAGTATCATGAGATTCATTTGCAGCATTGTAGTCTGGTTTGAGCTTCCTGCATAACTGTTGTCATAACTGATTTTTCTCATTTGTTCATTGGCTCCTTTTTTCCAGACCGCTTATAAACATCACAGAGCCCTTGCAGAACCCTGCTCCTTCCTGACTCTTAATCATTTACATTCCCTCATGGATTAGTGTTTCTTTTCCCTGTCACACCTTAATTTCCATAAGACCATTTGATAATTTTGCCAAAAGCTTTTCTAAAAATGCCAGTCTACTGTATTGATAGCCTTGTTTACATCTTCTTGGTTGTCTCCAGTAAATTCTGGTAGGTTGTGTGATACCACTTGCCTCCTCAAAAACCATATGAATTCTTTCTTTCAAGTATTATTTTTAAGTATTAGCTCAATCAAAGATATAGGAAGCTGTACTACAGATGGTTAGCCTAGGCTCCTCTTCAGTCTGGAAAAGGAACAACTGAGAGATACGTTGGGTGTCTTGAATAGTGAACAGAAAGTCTGTAGGAGACAAGTGTTTGCTGTCCTTTTGAGGAGAAGAACTGGAGTTGCAAAATTAAATTAAAGCAAGCAGATTTGTGGCCAAATAGTGGAGAGGGTGCTTCAGCTGTCTGTAGGTGATCTATGAAATTGTTTGTGTAAGATTCAGTGAATGCGTTAAGTTTACATGGGTTCTTAGAGCAATTTATGTAGGTAGCTATTTAAACAGATAGCAGCTATGGCTCAGGAAGTCCTTGAGTTGGTAACTGTTGGAAACTGGGAGAGTATTCCTGTGTGAGGCACCCGATACTGGTTACTGGAGGTAGTTTTTATTTTGCTAAAGGTTCCTTACTCTGGGTTTGTCAGTTTGATCTGCCTGATACAATTCCACAGGAATGTGAGAGATAAGTGGAGTTCTTGAAGTAATGCAGAAGCTGCACAGCTCTCTTTTTACGAGAGAAATGGTATAAAGGAACATGAATACAGTATTTTTGGACCACTGCGTAAATAGTATACGTCTTGTATGCAGGTTTTGAAGAGTATCTTTTAAAGCAAAGTTCATCTTGCAATAAAAAACCAACAAAAACAAAACACAAAAAAACCCCAAAACCCAAAAATGCAATATACCATTAGGAATATTTTGGGTATAAAACCAGTCCATTTTGTAACTCCCCATCCATTGTACAGGTAGTGAAAAACAGTCTCAATTCCCTACTCGTTCCTCATCATCCATGAATATGTCCATTTTCTCTTGCAACAAGTCAACTGATTTGGCTAATAAACATCAGTTTTATCTAGATGCTACATTAACTCCTTTCCTAGGACATTCAAATCATCTTAAGCAGAACAGAAACTATTTCAGTGCGTGCTTGTATTCTGTTAAACAAGATGTTCTTTCAGCATGGTCATTGTCATCTTGGGATTTTTAGGCTGAAAGGAGCAGATTATGTGTAATTCAAAACAAGGTTTATCCTTCTTTAATCGAAGAAAAATGTTTCGCTGGCATTGGAAGAACTGTCGTGCCCCATATATCGCCACATTTCCAAAGGATAAGTACTGTTGAGTATTGAAGTGCAGATTAGATGACTGTATTCTGGTCTGGCTATTATTCAATTCCTATCTGTCTGCTAGTTCTGCTCAGTAATAGAGTTTCTACAACTCTGCTCTCTACAGCTTCCTGAGGAGGAGAAGAGGAAAGGGAGGTGCTGATCTCTTCTTCCTGGGATCCAGTCATAGGACGTGTGGGAATGGTTCAAAGCTGCACCAGGGGAGGTTTAGACTGGACATTAGGAGGTATTTCTTTACCAGGAGGGTGGTTGAGCCCTGGAACAGGCTTCCTAGAGAGGTGGTCGATGCCCCAAGCCTGTCAGTGTTTAAGAGGCATTTGGACAATGCCCTTAACAACATGCTTTAACTTGGCCAGCCCTGAATTGGTCAGGCAGTTGGACTAGATGATCGTTGTAGGTCCCTTCCAACTGAAATATTCTATTCTACCAGTTCCCTAGTCAGAACTTGTCTTTACTGTATGTAGTTTCCACATGACTCCTGAAATATGCTTTAAAATTAGCATCATCAGTTGATACTTTCATTTTGCTGGCAGTGAGGGTAGTTTAAGCAATAGATTGCTAAACTGTTAAGTGTAGAAAACCTGTATTTGCTCTTAGAATGCTTGGCTAAATACTGTCTGGGTTTTGCAGTTTGTTACTACTTTTTATCAATTCTCATAAACTTTCTCATTCTGACACTTCTTTGAGTTCCTTGGACTCATTCTTAATGAAGAAAAGCTGTAGTGTGGGATGTCCTCTCACCTCTTCTCTGATCCAGAGAATTCATTTAATGATACTGTTATGGTCATGTTCTCCTTGCCAGTCAGCCTCGTTAATTCCCTGGAAGGCTTCTCTCCTCCCAGGTAAGCCTGTGGCGATTCAGTAGGCAGTCTAAGCATACTTTGCCTCAGTTAAACTTACTGAACTAGTGATCATTAACAATTAGTCCATTTGCAGGTCTTATTTTAAGGTCACTTGCAGAATGCTGACCTGTAGAGAGTGGAAGACGTTCAGGCAGTGGGGACTGTGACAGACAATCTGGAAAGTACAGAACAGCTTCTTGTTTCTCTCTTTCAAACGCAACCACTTGTGCTGGAGCCAAGTTCTGATGTGAGATCATTTGTCTTGGAGCAGTGCTAAGCCTGGCTGTCTGTATATGGTCTATGGAGAGGAGAATCTGCTGACCTCAAGTAATTCTTCATCCTTCAGAACAGTGTAGGAAAATTAGTTTAGTGGATCTTTTAGCACATTAGTTAGTGGGACAGGACTTTTTTTTTTAATATTGGAAGTAAGAGGGGAAAAAACTGCTCTCCTCTAACAGCACAGTACCAACTTTCTAACAAACTTTCTTCTAGTAGATTTTTGCAAGAGATTTCCTTTCAATGTTTTACTTCCTTGATGCAGGAGGTGAGGGGTTGTTGATACTTCCAAATACAGCCATTACTTCTGGCCTTTGGTGACTCTGGAACTCGTTAGTTTTCAATATAGAACTGAAAAATCTTTCTACTTTTTTCATTAAAAGACTTTTCAAGTATTTAACTTCAGCAGCCTAAGCTGCAACTTTGATTTAGTTTGTATCAGAAATGATTTCTGTGAGTTTGTTTTGATGGTATTCTAATCAGTATTTACAGCCTTACTGTATTCAGTGTTTTGCAGACATAGGCAGATAGGGGAAATACTGTCTACAAAGGATTTCCAGTCCGAAAGATGTCAGAAAATAGATAAATTTTTCAAGCACTTTAATTCATAGCTGAAGGCACTATCTTGTGCTGCTGCTGGGCTTTTTTCTGTGTTCAAAATAAAGTTGAAGGTAAAAGCAGAGTAAAATTACAGCAAGGGTGAAACTAAAAGTAGAGGGGGTAATGAAAAATCAGAGATTGTGTATGGCAAAAGATGACCATCAGGCAGGATTCAGTTTACAGAAGAAGAAAGTGGTTGTGCTAGAGCACTTGGGAGCTTTCCTGTGACCTAACAGATACGTTGAGGATGTTGCTAAAATGTTTTTAGGACAGACTGACCATGAGTATCCAGGAAGAGATCACTGAAAAGAAAAGCAGAGGCCAGATTGAGTAAGTAAGTAGACTTGCTTGTAAAGTTAATTTGTTGAAAGGTTTGCCTATTTAGAAGAAAAAAAAAATAGGTGGGGGAAGCAGCTTTTGTTTGATCAAAGTAAGGCAGGCTTTGTGAAAATTATCAAAAGTTGTGTCACAGAGTAACTAGAACTTGGCAATTTCAGTGGAATGGAGGAAAACAAGTTTGCCAGTGCTCAAGGGCGGAAAGAGGAAACACTGAGAAGTGGACATGAATCCGTGAATGAAACCTGTCTTTCAATGACAAATGAGAGCTGAGATCTGAGAGGAGACAGCAATACTCAGGTGTAGCCTGGCTGTATGATCCTAGAGCAACACCTAAGATGAGGCAGTCCCCTAGCTGTACTGGAGTGACTGGAAGAGTCAATCCTTGTAGAACTCATCAGACAGACCGTGTATCTTCTTTGGGAGCATTTTTACTTGCTGATCTCTTCCCGCACCACCGTAATCCTGTTTCTAGGAAGCAGTCACCATTTTAGCAGATTGCCCTGAAGCTTTGCATCCACTGCTTTTGCTGCTGCTGTTTGCTCATCCAAAAGAATAAGAATCAATATCAGCCATATCCATCTTATTTTGTTAGGATGGTACTATCCACAATCTTAGAGAACGGCTTGGTAAGAAAACTTGTGAAAGTCCCAACTGGCATAATCAAGAAGGGCCAGAGAGAGATCTGAGCAGGCTAGTATAATGGATTTGGAGCAAGAATGGAAAATGCTTGTGCAATACTTGAGAAAGAAATGAAGTAGAAATAATAGAGGTCTGTGTTCTTGTGTGAAGTTAGCTAGGAGAGCATGTGTACAGTAACCAGATGACCTGGGGACACAGAAGAAACCTTCAAATTGTAAGGCACATCCCAGAAACGTCATCATCTATATTTAACCCTCTCAACTTCAGTTACAAGCAACCTTTCTTTCTTTCTTCTCCAGCCATGCTGAGAACGTCACTACGCATTGTCACTGTTCTCTTGGCTTGCTCTGCGCAGTGAGCAAAGCAGTAAATGGGAATGTGATCTCCTCTGCAGTTGTTCTTCAGAAAGGCAGCAGCATAGCTGAGAACTGGGTCACTGCTATCACCTAGAAAGTTGGTCCAGCCATGGAGGCAAGCAGCAGTGCTATTATCAGTGAAGAAGTACTAGAGACGCAGATTTTTAGAGATCTGAGCAGAAAAAGATCATTGGCTGTCAAACAGCCGAAGATCCTAGGTAGTGAAGGGCAGCATATTGATACCACAGCGGTGTCCTGGTTTTGAGCACTGCAAATACCAAATATGTTTTTCATGCTGCTAATCCTCATGGGTTCTCCCGCATATTAGTGTTGTTTGGCTGTGCATTGCAAGTCCCACGTGCCTCTGTGCTCCCTTTGCCCAAGTGGGAATAATGCTGTCTGATGAATCTGCTTCACAGGAGGTGAGCAGGGATGGAGCTGTAGAGCTGGGGGAGCCGAGCTGCTTTTTGCTTGAGAACAGCAGGTGGGGGAGGATTGTACTGTTGTAGGGTAGGGGTCCCTCTGCCATCTAATACTGTTGTCTCTTCCATGTTACCTGTGTTGGTAGGAAAGTTTGATTATAGGGTGAGTGTGGAGGAACACTGGCTATTGGCCAATGTTTTTATATTATTCCAGGTGTGTGTGGAGCCCCTTTCAAATTTTTTGCCATTACCAGCCCTAGAGGGGAAGGATGGTAGAAGTTTCCATTCCTCTCAGCAGCTAAGGGTAGAGATCTACTGTTTTGAAGGTAACATGAGAAAACGGAGCCCTTGAGCAAGCCCTTAAGCAAACAGTCCCAGCCTATCCCCTTCTCTAGTTGTTAGCCTCTTCCCCATATCATGTTCTCTTAGGAGTTGCTCTGTTCATTTTGTAAATTAGCTATTTTTGACCTGGAGAAGCAAAGCTTGAAATGCCTCATGTCCTGTTAGCTTAACACTTATTGTTTAAAAAAAAAAAAATCATGTTTTATGTGTTGTCAGAAGGAATCTGCAGGGAGGAAAAGAAAATTATGGGATTTTCTTATTTTCCCCAAAATAATTCTGCTTACATTTGTGTAGTTTTGGTCTGTAGCTCTAATAGACTATTAGCTCTAATAAACTTTTTAATAAATATTTTTATACTGTATTTTCCTTTCTTTATTTTCCAGGGCAGGGAAACCACCACCTGGCTTACATCTGGATGTAGTCAAAGGAGACAAACTCATTGAGGTATGAAAATAGGTTTTGTGTTTATTTGGTGTATCATATACATAGACACCAGCAGTAGAACATTTCCCAGCATTTTCCATGCTTACTCATAAGTATTTCCTTTCTGTCTCTTATTCATTATTTTCAAATTAGTTTGTTTTAGTCTGAAACTTCAGAATGAAGTGAATTTTCCCTTGCCTGTACTCTAAGGCTGTCTCATACTATGCAGTGCTTCCATCAGTTCTCGTCCGATTAGATGCACTGTTTGAAGGGATACAAAACTGCAGTGCTCAGCTAGCAAACAATGACACTTAGATTCCTGAACATTAAACCTGTCCTACTAAGAGAGAGAAAAAAATAAAATGTTTGTAAGGGAAACTCGACACTTTGCAGACCCTTATGTTTTCCAAACTTAATTTTGGACCAAAGTTGACATTTTGTTCCCTACAAGATACTTATACAGGAAGTATCAGACTGCAGCCAGAAGGCATTTTGTCTTTGGAATTTCAGGAGCAGAAACTCGAATAACCTGGGGAAAGAAATCTCAAATACAAAAGAGTAAGAGTAAAAACTCTTCACTTTGTACTGCTTGTTTGAGATACTTGTCTGGTCAGTTTATTTTTTATTTTGTTTTACAGTAAGTTTAACTAGGCATCCTGTATCTTACAGGATTGTTGCCCTGTCCTACAGTATGAAATACAGTATGATTTTTTTTCATCCCATGTTCTAGATCTGTGAGCAGTGTTGTAATTAGCACAGATACAATGAGTTATTTTTATTACAGCAAAGGAATTTGTCTGATATACACCACCTCATTCTCTATTTCATATTTTGTCTTATATCACACTAAAAGTAGTAAATAAAAAAAAAGGCTCTTCAACATGGTTGACAGAGAGGACCAAAGCCAGTGAATGTATTTTAGCTGTGGAGAGACTCCTAACTTGCAATTGACAGAAACAGAGAAATGTTTCAGGGCAGCAAAAGTTTGCAAACTTGAGCCAACTTTTCTGAACAGAAACTTGGAAAATTAAGAACTCAGTGTTAGATCAAGAAAGATTTAGGTAGCTTAAAATCTTGGCTGGTTTTTAATGTATGCTACCAGAGGAGCATCAGACAGTATTAAGTGTTCCTTCTGGTGTCTAGCAGGAAAGATTTACTGTTTAGAATTTGGTTAAGTTACCGGAATATGCTTTGCATAGGAAAGCAGATAGAGATGTCACAAATAGGTATCTCACAAATAAACTTGTGTTTTCCCAGGCCAGAAACCAGTAAAATGAGCCTTTTCTTTATAGTCCATTACTGTTGGTTTTACAGACTGTTTTGAGAGAGTACTCTTACTCTGGATTTAAAGACACAGAAAATTGGCAAAGCCAGTCTTGACCTAAAAGAGATCTTTGCTCAGCCTTAATTTGAAAGAAATGAGATACTAACACATGCTTACTGCATCTTTGGAGTAGCTCATTAGTTCAAGACATGGCTGAGTAGGTTCATACCCGCTACTCGGACTACGCTGGAGCTATCCTTCACTGGCTCTTTCTAGACACTATAGCTTTCAAACCCTTTGCATTGCTCTTACCTCCACATTTCTTCCCGTGGACCATGTATTCTGCTTCTCATGGTACTGTTACATGTTCAGAATCATTTCCAGAGATCAGAGAGCTGTAGTAGGACTGCTTCTCAGCTCAGTCTTCTCACTGCCATCCTAGCAGCAGCATCTGGGGTAAGGATTGTACTTGGCACTGGGTTTTCCAGAATTTCTTTCAGGCCATGTAATGAGATTCAGTGAGCAAAGCCAAATGGCAGTGACTTTGGGGTTTTTGGTATGTGGCAGGTGGCCAAACATAATGCAGCCTTCCCACCTGAGAGACTTTTTCTATGAGATGAGTTTTTTCTTGTCATGTTTCTTTTGGATTTTTGAGCGTGGAGAGAGAGCTTTAGGATGAAAGAGTTTATATGGAGCTCTCTGCTGAATTAATCCTCAGGTGCTAGGCAAATGTCTATCATGGGAGTCCTGGTCAGGACTGAAAAAAAAAAAAAAAACCAGCAAAATGCCATATGGAAACTGAGGATGCACCATTGGTTTTGGCAATGCATGAGCAAATTTGGTGTTGATAACTTGACAGTCAGGAATATCGTCCTGGTGGTGTCAGACTCTGAGGCTGTGCTGCCCAAAGCTTTTGGACCTACAAGAGGCCTACAAGTTGGCTTTGTAAGCCTGGGGTCTCTGTCTGCATTGGGAAAGTGGGTGGTACAAACATCCTGATTCCCTCTTCCTACCATCAACTCTCTTGATAACCTAAAAGAGGTTCTTTTTGCTGTTGTGCAGAGCACTGTTAACAGCCATTGCTAGTCCGCTATGCAAGTACTCCAAGGTTCAGTAGAGGATGTGATCACACAGAGGTTACAGAATGACTGTAGAATTTGTGTGTTACCTCCTGAATATCTGATGTTGGCTATCGATGGTACTGAGATCAGTGAGGTACAGCTTGCCTGCCGTTCAGTGTATAATATGTGTGCTGGATGCTGTGGCAAGCGGTGACCAGGCGCAGGCACCTATGTGTGTAGCACAGAGGTCTGGCTTGGTATCATACTTCTGTCTGCCGAAGTAAGAATCAGAAGAGCTGGCTTGGTGGGGAAGTCCTAGCAGACTGTTCCATGTAGCGTGCATGCCTGCTTGTATGGTTGCTTTGTGGCATTGCACACTGCATACAGGTGATGACTTAAGTCCTCTAGGCTGTGGTGGTTACATGAGACAATGTTCTGTGTGTATGTATGGGAACTGTGCAACAAATTCACAGCATTTGAATGTGATCCGTTTCCCTTTTTGGTACATATGGCAAATAGTTTTTCAGTTTTGTGTCTTATGGTAGACAGCAAGAAAAAATATTCTTAAATCTTGTGGATTACTGAGCACTTGATACTAACCGAGCCATCCGTATCCCAGGTCTTGTGCAGAGATCTGAGGTACATCTTGTGATTGCTGGGTCTGAAAAGTGCAACATTAAAACAAGCCATGAAGTGTTTAAGCTCAGTGTATAAAGGATAACACTGGGTTATAACTCAGAGGCACAGAAAATTTTGGAAACATCATCTTGAAGTAAAGGCAATAAAATTATTTTCTCTGTTGATGATTTGTTGCAATATTTTCAATTTATGAATTCATTTGTGTCTTTGCAAAATCTCTTTAAATGCTGTCAAGTCAGAATGGTATTGTTTTGTGAGTAACGACTGCAAATGAAAACTTACGGGACATTTCCTTTGGTTTCAGTTGTGGACAAGAATGAGAAATTGTTGGACCGATTTTTATGGTACTTGAAATGGTGAGATAACTGCTTGCGGAGCCGAGCACTGAAATGTGGAGTAATGAATCAGCTTCTAAAGATCCACTTGTTTGTATCAGAGTTGTGTTTACATAGGATTTTTTTTCAAATACATGAGAATAAAAGGAAAAGTTAGTGCTGGTCTTTCTTACAAAGTGGAATCAGAATTCATTAGTACAAAGGTACTGAATTTGGGGAGACTCAGGGTGCTGAACTGAATGAGTAACGTATTGCGTAATATTGGACATAAATCCATTGCTATGAGGTTGAATCCCCGGAAAAGCTAACCAGCATTTCTCGAAAGATGTATTGCAACAAACACTATGGTATTAACCAGATCAATAGCTGGATGAAACAACTGTAATCGTAAGGGAAAATATCAGTGAGACTGATGGAATGATATGTGTTGATTAAGGCTTGCAGGGAAAAGTGTAACAAAAGTATGCTGGCGTGAAGAATGTACAGGGAAGAGATTGACTGATCTTTTTACAGGTGGAATTGAAAAAAAAAAAAGTGAAATAATACTCAACCGGAAAGGACTGAGGAACCATGTACTAGTTTAAGCTGTTTATCAGTAGCTTATACTTTCTGGTTAATTCTGAGGGAAGAGTCTTGTGAAAACCAGCATTTGTAAAGAGACAGAAAGTGATAATAAAGTAGCCAGGTGAGAGCAGAATCCAGTAGGCTGTTTCAGTATATTGATTTCTCAGTTTTTTTATCTGAATTTTACTGAGACTTCGAGGTATGCTATGCCCCGCCAGACACAAATAGATTCGGAGGAGACGCCTGCATGTTTTGAATGTCCCAACTGGAGGGAAATTATTTGCATTTTGCATTTGCACCTCATTTGTCACCAGATAATGTGACATGTAATGTCACATGTAATGACATGTAATGTAAGGTGAATTGCTAATTAAGCTGTGATTCCTGTCTTATCAAATGAGACGTGGACTTACAAAGGTGATTTTTTTTGTAGTTAAAGTATTGGTGCTCTTGTGGATTTTCTGCCAGCCTATGTATCACTGAGGGTACTGATGAAGTTGTCATTCTATCTAACCATTTGTTTTCCCAGAACTTCTTGAAATTTAATATCTTGTAGTGCTGGTTGAAATTGGCCAGTTGGTTGAGAAGTTATTTGGTTTGGTAGTGGGTGTCGGAAGCTGATGGATATGCTCGCAGCTTGATCACCTAAATCTTGTTATTTTAAGAAGGCAGGCCAAAATATATGTCAGTAGATTTCACAAAGCATTTATTCTCATGAAATCATGCTTAAAATGTATACCTTGAGTTAGTTGGGAATAAGACATTAGCAGATTATTACCTAAGGGACCAATTAATTGTAAAGTCGTCATGATGTATACTAGTATGGAGCTGAGTTGTTCAATTAATTCTTCTAGTGACCTAAAAGAGAGAATAAACATACAGAGATAAATTAAGTACTTATTACTGAATACGTGATTATGAGAACTTGCAGCATGGGGGCTGACAAATGTTCAGCAGAACAATGAGAAATCCAACCTACAAAACGTAGTACGCATCTGGGGGGAAAAATCTGAAAAAAAATCAGTGGGGAAGTGGCATCCAAATGTAGCAGTGCTAAAAGCCTTCAAGTTCATAATTGGTGGGCAGGTAAATAGATGTAACTTTGCAAGGTGATTTGTAGTAGAAAATGAAGTCCATGTGATTTTTATGCTTGCAGATAAGGCAGAGGGATATAAGTACTAAGCTCTCTCCTTACTTCCTGTATGACTTGGTAGTGCCACAGAGTAAGTAACTGTCTAGGTGCTTATTGTGTCAGTCTTTCTGATAGCTCAAAAAAACCTACTCTGATATGTTAGCTCTTTCTAGCTGAGCATGTGGTTTATACAGCTGGCAAAACTGAGGAGCAAACAACTGATTGACAGGAATGCTGCTGCCAGGAAGGGAGGTCCTTCCTCATCACACAGTCCTGGTGCATATAATCCATTGCTTCACTAGAGCCAGCTGGGATACGCATCTGGCTGAAGGCAAACTGATTCAGTCCACTAAAACTGTAGTAGACTAATGCAGCAAAAAATGCTTTGCAAGCTGAAAACTTTGCTCAGATGTGTGGCAGTGCAGTTGAGGAGAGGATTGTGTAGCTGGGAATGGAAGGAGGGAGAGGGGAGAAATCCTTGTGCTCTAGCAGGCAAAATGTTAATTCAGCTCAGACCATCTCATGAAAGCAATGCTTTCCTGAAGCAAAAGATCTGGGTTTTTTTCTTATGGAAAATGTATCATCAGCATTCTCTTGATCATGCTATTGAAACACTGTGTGGGCTTTGGTAAATGTTTCAAAAAGCAGGAGAAGCCATCTGTTAACAAATCTGTAATGCATTGCCAGCCTTTGACTTGTGCAGCTGGAAGCACGAAAACAGAGGTTAGATTAAGATCTTGGGATGCAGTGAGAAAGGAGGCTGCTCTGCTTAGGTACTTCAGCATTTAGGCATAAGGAGTTCAACAACATTGTCTGTTAATAGAAATATGCTGTGTACAGTGTAGGACTGTGTCAATGTGTTCCTTTGTTTTTCAGAGATGGTTCATGTAACTGGTATTACAGTATGTAAGATCTTGTTTGAAGAAGGGATTAGAACTAGGATGAATTAAGAAGAAATGCCTAAAATTAATGGCTTACTTGAATAGACTAATATGGATTCATATCACAGTACATATTCAGTATAGTTTTACATCTTTATTATAAAGGTCTGAAATCTCCTCTATGTCCATTTCTATACAGAAATATAATGTTGATGTTCTGTATCGGACTGGAGATCATTTAGCATAGATTCCTGGCTTAGACAAGGTCCAAGGTCATCTGCCTCGAGGAATGCGTAAAAACCACTGGGAGCAGATGTGAGAGAGAATCTGTTGTATGAGAGTCTCATGCTTTGAAGAGTTATTGTCCTTCCCAGGCTGTCTTATATTGGCTGTTAAAGAAGGGAATAACTGGGACTCTTCCATGTTCAGCTGTTCTGATTTTACAAAGAGAAGATTTGAGTTTCTGTATGAACAGTGTCAGAAAAAACTGAAACATTGATTAGACATTGATGCTTTATTTTCAATTTGCTCTGTTTATTCATGTTCTTGAATTTTTTCAGGAAGATCCAAAAGATTATAGGCGTCTAATATGCTTCTCTGTTTGATATTCTACCTCAGAAACTCATCATTGATGAGAAGAAATACTATCTCTTTGGGAGAAATCCTGATCTGTGCGATTTTACCATTGACCACCAGTCTTGCTCTCGGGTCCATGCTGCCTTGGTCTATCACAAACATCTCAAGAGGGTTTTCCTCATAGATCTAAACAGCAGTAAGTAGTGTGACATTTAACCAGATAGAAGTATGATATTTCAGTGCTTAAACACTTCTGAATCTGAGACACTTTCTCCTTTTTTTGTTGTTTGCACTGTGTGGATAGATGACTATAACCTGAATTAGCATCCTAGTGAAAGATTGGCAAGGGTTAGGAGCAAAGGAGTGTTTGCTGCAGTCAGCTTACATCTGCTTCACTTGGTGTTTAAAACAACATTTCTAGACTCTTAAGAGGCTACGGGTGAGGAGGAAAGTGACTTGGCCTTCCCTTCACAATTTTAATGAAGCTTTCTCTTCTGAGGGTGGTTTCCCAAGATCTAAAACCTGACATACTGCTTTATCCACTGAGGGAATGATTGCAGACATGGTACATTGGGACCTACAAGAATCCAGAAAGTAAATGGTGTTTGTCATCTATTTCCATGACTTTTTGAGGACTTCTGATGTGTGTTATCTTAGTTTGTGAGATGGTAGGTAAAATGTACATAGCTAATGTTTTCAGCAGTACCTCAGTGACTTGTATCTCAGAGCAACCATGTACAGTTACTGAACTTCTCAAGACTTGAACTCAAATACGGTGAGCCAAAGCTGATGACTAACAGACTATTTTGTATTTTGATGTTCTCAGCACATGGCACATTCTTGGGTCATATCCGTTTGGAACCTCACAAACCCCAACAGATACCCATTGACTCCACGGTTTCATTTGGCGCTTCAACACGGGCATACACTCTGCGAGAGAAGCCTCAGACACTGCCATCAGCCGTTAAAGGAGATGAGAAGATGGGCGGTGAAGATGAAGAGCTCAAGGGCTTGCTGGGCCTGCCAGAGGAGGAGACAGAGCTTGACGTGAGTATGATGGCACAGTGTACCTAGATGGCATTTCCAGCTAAACAGATTGCATTCCCTACTTGTTTGCTTAGGTTCGGGTTCTTAATTTCTTGGCCTTGAAGATAGTCTGATGTGTCATCTGCTGGCAGATACAAACAAACCATCTCATTCTGCCATGATAAGCCTGTGATCATGCTGCTTCCCAGAATCAGCGACCTAATAATCCTACTATTCCAATGGTCTCCTCACAAAGGCTTGCCAGGGAGTATGTGCTCCCCAATTAACATTACCCCAGGTCACGGGTGATTTCCCACACTGTTCCCCACTGCCAGATAACAGTGAATGCTGCCCTGTTTCCTACAGTTAGCTAGTGAAGAGGGAGAAAGCAGTGTGTGTGACATTCACAGGGTTGTTGAGGTTGGAAGGGACCTCTCAGGATCATCTAGTCCAGCCCCCCTGCTCAAGCAGGGTCAGCTGGAGCAGGTTGCCCAGGATCATGCTCAGTCAAGTTCTAAATATCTCTGCAGACAGACTCCACAACCTCTCTGGGCAACCTATTGCAGCACTGGAGCACTCTTTCTTCCTAGGGGTCTAGAGCTGAAGCTAAACACTGTGCTGTGGTCTTTTGATATGCACAATCACATGATTAAATCACACTTCATACACTAGTTGCTTAAACTATTTTGTCTCCAAATTTGTCATTAGAACCTGACAGAGTTTAATACAGCCCACAACAAAAGAATTTCCACACTAACCATTGAGGAAGGGAACTTGGATATTCAAAGACCAAAGAGAAAACGGAAGAACTCCAGAGTGACATTCAGTGATGATGATGAAATCATCAATCCGGGTAAGTAGTTTGCTTTAATCTTTAGTTGATGTCTTTAAGACCCTCTTTCCAGTATTCTCATAGGGATTCCTCATGGCTGCATATGGATAAGGAGAACAGAAATTTGGCAGTCAATATTGGAGATCTGCTATTTCAGAGAAGCTGCCACATTTCTCACTTAAGTCTTTGACCTCTCTCTGTTTCTTCTCTTCTACCTGTAAAATAACTGCATGATTTGACCAGGACGGGGATATTGCACTCAGCTTCATTCTTCAAAATTCTGTCAGATGTTGGAAGGATCTCATGGGTCCAAAGGAGGAAAGTGTTTTAAATGTTTTGCCTTCTTTAGAATCTCTAAACGGGAGCTGAACTTGTTTGTTTTTCATCTGTCCCTTAACGCTTTCCTTACCTGTTGCCCAATGGATATTTGTCTTAAGCTCAGAGACGAAATGATGCTTCGGAAGATGTATCCATTTCCTAATTAGTCATTTTTCTCCCTTAGCTGTTTTATATTGATGGCACTCCTATTGATGATATTTTATATGGATAATATTCCTATTAATAAGAGTAGCTTATTAATGAGTATGCATTTTAAAACATAGTCTGGAGCTAGTTTCATTTGGCAGCGTATACCACCCAGAATAACTATTTTGATTTATAAGGTTGTCCAATTTAGTGCTCAGAACATCCTAATGTAAGCAGTCATTCACATTACAAAAAAAGGTAATTTTTTTAGACTTTCAGAGACTCTACATTGAATTCTTCTGACTCCTCCTTCAAGGTCCCCCAAGGACTTTTGGGGCTAGCTGTTGTGCCTTTGAGCACGTGCAATGCCTTGTCAGCAGCAGCTTTCAGCCCAGAGCTCCAGTCTGTCCGATCAGTGCAAAGTGGCCATCCATCTGTCCCCTTTCCCCATTCTCCATTTGAGTGGAAGACTTTCTTACCAGAATATCTGATGAGCTCACCTTGAGACAAAGCCACTAGGTGTCCCCTTAGCTCCTCTATTTGGGAGTGCTTGTGCTTACTGAGAGCTACTAGAGCGCTGGCTTTGAGAAGGTCCATGTACCAATTCTTCATATAGGTTCCTTTACCTGACAGATGTTATATCTTTTCCTGTATTCTTACTGAAAGCTTCACTGTTCTTGTCTTTACAGAGGATGTGGACCCTTCTGTTGGGCGTTTCAGGAACATGGTACAGACAGCAGTAGTCCCTGTTAAGGTACAGAGTAACTCCCAGCTTTCTAATTATTAATACATTACATTAATGAACTCACTTTATGAATTGCACCTTAGAAACATAATGTTCTATGGTGAAAAGTGTTTTATTGTTAAGCAAAAGTCATGTTCATGTTTCACAATTGTCTTTTTTTAGCAGATTTGACCATTTCCTTTCAAATCCAGCTTTAGCTCTTTAATAACACATGGGATCAATGGCAATTTTTTTTCCTCCCAAAAAGAAACACTTTCCAGAAATTCAGTATGGTAGTTCTAGGCATCAGTTAAAATTGTGGGAAGTGTGGAAAATAAAAAGTAAACACAAGAGGTTGTTTGTTTAAATACTGGAAGTGCTAAAGATTTCATAAGGTTGTCTACTAGATCTAGCAGGGCTTAGACTTTGCTCCAAGATGAGTGTGGTGGCAGTGCTATATTTAATTTGAGTATGTTAGGAGTAGAGAAGATTTGCAAAACTTTAGGGTAGCTAAGCAACAGTATAATAGCAATTTTGCTTGTTGCTGGTATAAGCTAAATAATGTATGTGGAAAAGGATAATTCTACATAAACCCCAGACTGCATGACAAGATTCAAATGCACAAGAGCAGGCAAAATCACCCAGGTGATCTAGAAGTTGCAGTTTCTTACTGCGGGGGGAAGGAGGGTCTGCGTTACTGACTGAAGACCTACTTGGTCTTGCGTTCAGGAGAAGCTCAAGACTGGCAAGCATGTACAGGAGGTAAAGAGGTGCTCAGACCTGATCTAAGTTAAACCTGAGCTTCAACTTCTGTCACCCCTTCCTGCATTGTGCACCTTTAAGAGTTTATTATTAAGTGGTTTTCAAGGAAACCCAAAAGAAATCTTCTGGGACAAAGACTGGGACATGGTCTGTAACCACTTTATATGTGGCTGGTCTAGGTGCCTTTTTGGGGTAAATGACATTGGCATCCAGTTTAAATAGCTTGCTTTTTTCTTGTATTTTGAATAATTCTTTAAATACTTCCATCTACAGAAAAAACGGTTGGAGAATCCAGGCTCATTGACCACAGATGATTCTGCATCACGACGTATGCAAAACTTTCCCTATAGTGGAGGATTATATGGTGGTTTACCTCCAACTCACAATGAGGCAGGTTCCCAATCGCATGGCGTCCATGGGACAGCACTCATTGGTGGTCTGCCAATGCCCTACCCCAATCTTGCCCCAGATGTGGACTTGACTCCTGTTGTGCCCTCAACAGTTAACATGAACCCAGCTCCAAACCCTGCTGTCTTTAATCCTGAAGCTGTGAATGAACCCAAGAAGAAGAAATATGCAAAGGAGGCATGGCCGGGCAAGAAGCCGACCCCTTCCCTACTGATCTGAGTTGGGTTTTGTTGCAGGAGGGAGGGTGGGTAGGGAGGGAGGGTGGGTGGGAGTTACGAACTCCAGAAACTGTTTATGTGCAGTATCGTCTTTTTAAAATTTCAATGTCCTAACCAGATGTAATACCAAGATTGGAGAAGTGAAATATTCTTTAAAGATCTGTCTTCAAATGTTTTTATATGTCTGTTTAAAAGAAAAAAAAAAATACAGCTCCCATCTCCTTTTGAACCAAAATATCTGGCAGCCTTTTCTTAGCCATTACTGTCCCCAGAGGTCTTTACTCTGAATTTTGATCCATAAGTTGAAGGGGCAGAGTCATGCAATTTAACTATCATTTATGGCATGACCCTGCAAATTCGTGTATTTAGGTGTCGTGCTTACTATGAGTAATGTTGTTCCTGCTGGACTTGCTCATAGCAGGTCAGCTCTATCAGAAGTAAATGTTTGTGGGGCCAAGCCTTTCAGAAATCCCATTGGTATGAGTTCTAAAACTTGCAAAATACAGGTCAGCTTTTATTTTTTACATTTTCAAAACCCCACCAACGTGGGGCATTATCTTTTTGTTTCGTTTTGTTTGGCTACAGCTTGTTTTGATTTCCACCTAAAACACTACAGCATCCCATTAGTTCATGAGAACGTGGAGTTGAGATGGATGACAAATGGGTAGGCTTCCTTAGCTGAGGTCCAGTATTGTACGATGGAGTGCTGTGTGGATGGATGAAGGGGTGTGCACGTGGATGGATCTGAGCTTGTGTTGGTGCTAGTGGCAGCATACAAGCACGGCAAGCCGAGGACGGTTTGACTGGTGGATAGGCACTATCTACACTGTACAAACAATAAACAGCAAAGTAGAGTTGACTGACTCTCCTGTGATAACTTAGGGTGAAGTTAACACAGAGGAGAACAGTTTCTTTTAAACTTGGTGCCCTTTTAACTTAAAAAGTTTCATTTTTATTTGCAAATGGAACTTGTGAGCTTGGAGTATATGTGAGATGCGACAAGACACACACAAAAATGAGCAGCCATCAGCACTGTCAGAGGACTTGCATGTTTAACAACTAAAACCACAATCTGCACACTATTCTGGCTGCTAGTTACAGTGGGTGAGAGTTGAGTGCTGCTTAAAGCTAGAATATGAATTGTCAGTAGAGAATCTGCCTTGCCTTGAATAAAGCAGTGCACAAATTGGTTTCATAATATTACATTTTTTAACTACTTCATCACTTTCTCCCATTGAATAAAATGAGAAGCTTGATTTGGATTGTTGCTGTAGCCCTTCAAATCCTCGGTTTTAGATTTCAAAATCTGATTCACATGTATTCAGACACTATGTCTTCACTTTATACAAGGTATGGCCAGAGCTCTGTTTTTCGTAAGTTTACTCTGGATTTTTTTACATTCTATAATGCAGTTCAGCTACATAGTCACATTCCTTTGTTGTTTGGGGGATTTCTCCAGGAAATGTGCAGTAAAATGACAGTAGTATACCCAGCTGTTCATTGTGTACAGTACTGTAGCTACCTGGCTAAGTAGGTTTGTGGAAATCTGATGGCTGCTGGAGCAGTGCTGTGTTATAGCGCATCTGGCGTGCTGTATGCACTAGACCTGTTTTGGACAGATGCTCCAAAATCAGTGTGACTTCTGCGTCTGCAGAGTGATTGCTTCTATCATGTTGTTGAGGTAAAAATGAGTTAGTAGCTACCCCACTTACAAGAGCGATGGCTTTAGAGACTGGTTTGTTCCCCTCCCCGCACCATCATATCTAGCTCAAACTATTATATGGATGAATACAGTACCTTCTCCATGATGTAGTTGTGCCGCTCTGTGTTTAGTTGCTATTGAATATGATTCAGTCCTCAGGCATTCTGCTTCCAAACACTCCATGCTGACTTTTAAAATCTTTCTCCCTTTATTTTTAGTTTTGCTTCTTTCTGGTGCGTAGAATTTTCTTCTTCCAGCCAGTCTGCTTTATGAAGGCAACTCTTTAGGGTAAGACTAGTTAGGGCAAGTAAAAGTTGAACAGCTTTTGTTCTTCTTTTATTTCTGTTTTGGGGTTGGGGTGGGGGGTTTTTTG